ACGGCCCCAGGTGCGGTTGTTGGCTGTCAGTGAGGGGACGGCCCCAGGTGCGGTTGTTGGCTGTCTGTGAGGGCACAGGGCTGGATCCCGCCTCGCCGCGCGTTCCCCTCAGGGCGCTCCCGGCCCCCGGGGCAGCTCCCGCCCTCAGCGCCGCCCCGCTCTCAGGCGCGCCGCGGGCAGCCCTGTGCGGGCAGCGGCGTCGCGGGGTCCTCGCTGCCGCGCCCGGCGCTCCCAAGATGGCGGCGGGGCCGGTACCGGCCGTGTGAGGCGGGAGCGCGTCCCGGCCGCCCGCGGCTCCTCCGCCCGCCCGGCCCCGCTCCCGCCCCGCAGCCGGCGGGATGCTCAGATCCACCGGCTACTTCCGCGGCATCGACTGCCCGTTCCTAAACGCCGGGGGGTCGGGGCCGGGCCGGGGGTGCCGCAGGCCCTACTGCCACTTCCGACACCCCCCGGTGGCCCCGGCGCCGTGCGGAGCCTCCGGAGCCTCGGGCGACCCCAGCGTGGGGCTCCCGCTCGGACACGGCGCAGGTACGGCCCGGCCCGGCCCGGCCTCGGTGCCCCCTCAGCTTCCCGCGACCCCGTCCCGGGCTGCGGCTGTTCCCGTCCCTGCTGCCCCGGCCCGGTTGTACTTTCTCCCCCCGCCCCGTGTGTTTTCCCCCCGGCGAGGGCAGGCCCGTGCCTGGCCCGCTCCTCTGCCGCCTGCCCGCCGCTCAGGGCCCGGCTCAGCGCCCAGCGCCGCGGGATCGCCCCGCCGGCCCCTCCGCACTGCGGTGCTCCCGGGGGCTGTCGGTGCCACCGGCGGAGCCCGCCCGTGCCTCGGCTCCGGCTGCGTGTGCCGTGCCCAGCCCTGCCCGGGTCGGGGCTGTCAGCTCGCCCTCGGTCCGGGAAGGCTTTGGAGCAGCTTTGCGGCCCCGGCGGCGGTGGCTGGGCTCGGTGGGTCCCCGCCGTGGCCGCTGCACGCCGGGTGTTGGGGAGCAGCTTCCCGGGGGTCCGGAACGGCGCCGGCTGCAGGCGGGTTCTGCCCTGATCCCGTTCTTCGGCGCTCCGGGCACCGGGCTCACGTGGCGCTGGGTGTCAGCGGATTCCAGGCGCTGACAGCTCCCGTTAGATGCCGTCAGGAGCTGCCCGCCGCGGGGCGGCACGGCCCTGCCGGGCTCTCCGCGTTCTCTGGGGGGCTGCGGGCAGCCAGACCCCCCCATCAGGAGCTTGTGGGGCACGGGGCTCTGCCAGGCTTCTCAAAGGCAGCCTGGCACAAAAACCAGCGAATCAGGCAGTCCTGGAATATCCTGAGTTGGAACGGACCCACAAGGATCAATAGTGAGCTATTGTTGTCCGTTCTTCCAGCAGCCCTTGTCATTTTATTTATGCACATTATTTGCTGTTCTGCTGATTTATTGGGAGAAGAAAGCCTTCATTCTTCTCCCCAGAAGAACCCTGTTGGTTTTCATTTTCTCAAAGCTTTGTTATTTCTGTTAGGTATAATGGCAAAATAATGCTGGTGTTGACAGTCTCAAATAATCTGAAGCAGAGATTGCCAAAACAAAGCCTAGCTTGTGTTTTTTGTGTGCTTACTTAACTTTGGGTTGCTCTCAAATTTGGAAGAGGATTAATGATTGATGTCTCCTGGTTACCAGGCCAGCTTACCAGCACTACTAGTTTAGTCTAAAATCAGAGAAGCATTCTCAGGGCTGTCACAGGCAGATAATTGTTAGAAAGACAAAGTTTTTTTTGCCAATTTTGGTGTTCTTTTGAATTTTAAAAGGTCCCTAGAATGCTTTAGGATGGTTCTTTAGATGATGTTATAATTATCTTTCAGTATGCTCTTCCTGCATGTTTTTAAATATCTGAGTGGAGTGTCAGTTTTGGAACTGGAATTGCTGATTTTGGCCTGCACCAAGTGCTGCTGTGCTTGATAACAGCTGGGGCTGGGTTTGGAGTTTGAGGTGGGGAAGGGAAAACCTCTGTGTGCCCCTGGGAAGTGTGTGAGGCTCCCAGAGCTGCCTGGAAGTGCTGCTGTAAGCTGAGTGTGAAAGGCAACAAAAATGCCCCAATGCCTCGCTAGGCTTGGCCTGGGCGTGTCAGACACAGGAGAAGAAGCCTGAGTTTTGAAGAGTAAGAATTTCCTTACAATCATGGGATTGTTAAGGTTGGAAAAGCCTTCCAGGTTCATCAAATCCAACCTTCAACCACTGTGGTCACCACTAGCCCATATTCTCTAGAGACACATCCACACGTTGTTTGGACAGTTCCAGGAATGGGAACTCTACCACTGCCCTGGGCAGCCCTTCCAGTGATGGACAACTTTTTCTATGAAAGAAATCTATTTTCTTAATTCTGTGAGAATTAAGAAATTCTGACAGGATTTTAATAGAATTTTAATAGAATTTAAAATAGAATTTAAAATAGAATTTTAAATAGAATTTTAATAGAATTTTAAATAGAAATTTTAATAGAAATTTTAATATAATTTTTACAGATTTTTAATAGACTTTCGTAATAGAATTTTTCAATAAAAATTCTTATTCTTATATTCTTAATAGAATATTATTTTCTATGCTTATTTCTTAATAGAAGTTCTTATATAGAATCTATTCTATATTTTCTTAATATCCAACCTAATCTACAGCACTTAGAGAAGAGTTTTTTTGGCAACTAAAGCCCCCAGTGTGGGCCTGGTTTCCCAAGGGGAAGTTTCTGCACTTGTGAAAGAGGCAGGATGATGAGGCTGAGCTCAGGCTCTGCCTGCTGCTCCCTGCAGCCAGCTCAGAGCATTCCTGCCTCTTTCCCAAACTCTTGGCATCCAGCACATGGCCTGGCTGGCATTACAGGGATCTGTAGTTCTGTCTCAGCTCAGGGCTCGCCTCCAGACATTTTTTAATGTTGGATTTCTGTTGGCTCCCACCTGCAGAGCTGCCCCAGCCTGGGGAACAGCAGCAGGAGGACGTGGAGCTGCTGGAGCCAGGCCAGAGGAGCCACGGAGATGCTGCAAGGGCTGGAGCCCCTCTGCCATGGAGCCAGGCTGGGAGAGCTGGGGGTGCTCCCCTGGAGAGGAGAAGCTCCAGGGAGAGCTCAGAGCCCCTGGCAGGGCCTGAAGGGGCTCCAGCAGAGCTGGAGAGGGACTGGGGACAAGGCCTGGAGGGACAGGACACAGGGAATGGCTCCCAGTGCCAGAGGGCAGGGCTGGATGGGAGATTGGGCAGGAATTGTTCCTGGCAGGGTGGGCAGGCCCTGGCACAGGGTGCCCAGAGCAGCTGTGGCTGCCCCTGGATCCCTGGCAGTGCCCAAGGCCAGGCTGGACGGGGCTGGGAGCAGCCTGGGACAGTGGAAGGTGTCCCTGCCGTGGCAGGGTGGCACTGGATGGGCTTTGAGGTCCCTCCCAACCCAAACCATGCTGGAATTCTGGGATTCTAATTGAGAAATGGGAGATGAGCAATGGACTTGCTGCAATCTCAGGCTTTTAGAACAGACTCCAGCAGGTCACAAAATGTTCCTGATTCCTGTAGGAGCAGGAGACACTTTTGCAGTTACTTTGCAGTGCTTGGCTCAGCTTCCTTGGAAGGATTCTGGTTGAATTCTCTTATTCCTTGCCTGCCTGATGCTCCTGGCCTGGAAGGATCTGTAGGATTTACACTAGAGGGTGTAGTAGCTCAGCCAGAACCAAGCAAATCTTCTGGGAGCAGGTTCTCCATCCCCCAGGGCTGCTCCCTGCCAGGGGAACTGCCTGTCTTGTTTTGAAGTAGCCTCCTAACCATGCACGTGGGCAGGTCTGACCTATTTAATGATATCACTCGATTGAGAAGCTTTAAAAATGTCATTTTTTCTTGCCAAGGCAGGTGGGTTTCTACACCAAGAGCTACAGCACAGATTGGTGTTTTCTGGGATAGTGCCTAGAAAAAAAGATAACATCTAAAGGAGCAGCCTGCTAAGCATATTGATTCGAGGCTGGGGCTGGCTTTGATGTTTGAGGATCACCAGAGGATTGGCAGGAACCCCAAAACTCTTGGTGCAATTTCGTAGCTTTGAAAGGAGCTTTTGAAAACTGCAAGTGGAACTGGCCCTGGCAGGTTGTGGGAGGGGGGACCATGGACACGTGCCAGATGGAGCAGAGAGGACGTGGAAAGAGGAATTAGTGGGATGTAGCACTGTTCTCCCCCCTTTTTTTGCCCACCCTCACCACTCCAGACTTCCCAAGGTGTTCATGACATGATCCCTGTTTTGCACACACAGTACTGGTGTGCTCCCAGGCACTGGGGGACAGTGGTGCAGAGCCCCCTGAGATCTGCAGGAGCAGGACTGGGTTTTCCCTGACTGCTGCTGGATGTGGCAGGAGTTCTCTTTCCTTCCTGTCTGGAAGAAGGTCTGTAAATACAAACATGTTGAGTGAGGGGCACGTTTGAGCTGGTGTCTGAAACATGGAATGCTTGGTGTGGGAAATATATTCCCATGTTTTATTGCAGGGATCTGCCTGTATGGTAACAGAATGTGGGTGCCTTGGAGGTTTGTGAAAAATCTATGCTGGCTGAGCACTGAGGCTGATGGGGATTTCTGTCCGGGACTGGGAATCTGGAGACTGCAAATTCTCATCCTGACTTGGCTGAAGTGCTTTTTCCATCTCTGAGATGACTAAAACCCACCTGCTTCAGAGCAGGATGAAAAGATTATTGAATGTGTGTGAAGTGCTTTGAAAGCTTGCGCTGTAAGGAGGAGGGAAGAGCTGCCTTCAGTCCTAAAAGCGTCTTTTCAAGAGCTGTAGAGGGGAAAAATAGGTCTCTCTTTAAAGTCGAGGTCCTGAGTATGCTGAAAGACATAAAAGAGGTATAATACAGCTCTTCATAAATATCTTAAGGTAGGCAGCCCTGGTTTGCTGGTTTGATGCTGTCAGGGGCTGTTTTGGAGGTGGATGCTTTTGAACCCAGAGCAGAAAGCTGCTTCCAGGCCTGGAGCTCTGAGCTCTTTTGTCTGCACTGATCACAGAATTCTGGAATGTGCAGAGCTGGAATAGACCCCCAGGGATCATCAGCCCAGCCCCTGTCCCTGCCCAGCCACCCCAACAGCCCCACCCTGAGCAGCCCTGAGAGCGCTGTCCAAACGCTCCTGCAGCTCTGGCAGCCTCGGGGCCGGGACCATTCCCTGGGGAGCCTGGGCAGTGCCAGCACCCTCGGGGGGAAGAACCTTTCCCTGAGCTCCATGCCAAGGCCTGGCACAGCTCCAGCCACTCCCTCAGGTCCTGATCCTTGTGTTCTTGTGGGATGGGAAGAGCCAGCCAGGCTTTCAGCACCCTGCCTGAAGTACTTTGTTCTGCAGTGGAGTGTACTGAGCTGCTCAACAGTTTTCTGATGTGGTCCAAAGCTTGTGGAGCAGTTTTCTGGCTGTGTGGTTTTTCTGTCTGGGTTACAAAGCTTTGCTGGTTAGACTGGGATCAAATCTGTGGAAGGTGTCAGGGACAGAGCTATGCTGCTCTGTGTGATTAACACAGTGAGCTGCTGCAACACTGTTGGGCTCAGGTCAAGTGTGGAGAAATCCTTGGG